CGTGCTGTAGGTGGTCCAGGTCTTCATCGCTGAGCTCATGCAGGCGTCTGACCCAGGACCTCCATGCAGCCCACACCTCGGGCCAGCGCGTCTGTTGAGGGGGGGGGTAAACTTCATCTTGTGGAGCTGCAGTCCCCATAGTCGCCGTCGCCCTTGCTCGTTGCCGTCACGCCGTATCGCTTCGCGATTCCAGCGCCATTCACGTTTTCGTTGGCTGAGCCACTGCCAGTGTCCTTCGCTGGGGTCAGCAGCTCCACGTCCATGTGCATGGCTGCGCCAGTGCTTCTTGAGCCTTACCTGGACGAGTCTTGCGCCACCGGCCCTCCCACGATAGCGGTCAGGTTGCTCCACGCCGAAGTGCCGGATCATCTCGTCCTCGTATCGCTTCAACCGGTCCTCGAACGTTGTGTCGAGGGCCGCAGTAGTACAAGCATGCGAAGCCGCCGTCTGTACCATGTCCCAGCTGAGGTCTGGCAACTGGGGCCCAACCAGTCGGCCTGACGGGAAGGCCTTGGGCATGTGTACCTTCTGAACTGCGAGCGGTATGGCCTGCATTTCAATGTTCGGGATGACCCCTCTGTTCGGCGTAGTAGATAGCCCGTCGAAAGTGTGCGCCTTGCCTCCTTGAAGGTCATGACTGATGCAGAGGTCATATACGATCTGTGCGCTGTTGCTCGTGTAGCATGTGGCCTGGTCGGGGGCGACAACAATGCCCTTCACCGACTTAGGCCAGCACGAGCTGCACAGAGACTCATGGAGGTTTGGCCAACCCCCTCCCAGCACAAATGGCCTTCCAGCAGCGTGTAGGACTCCACCGATCTGAAACAGTATGTCCAAGTTGACGTCCTCGAGGTCCTTGCTCGCGTGCAAGTAGAGAGAGGAAAGTACCAGGCCCTCCTTTGGCCCAAGATCGGTGGTCCAGAACCCTTGCCGCGCCGTGCCAGAAGCGTAGATGCCGCCGTGGTCGAAGGAGAGGCGACGGAAAGCGACGTGAGGTCGCCCGAGGATGCCGACTCCCCCTGTCGTCCCGTCGCCGTTGCCCGTGCGACGCGCAGGGTAGAGGTCGGCCTTCCATCCGAGCGCCTTCACCGCCTTCAGCGCGGGCTCAATCCTATCCTTGCGCAGGTGGTGCTCCCGGATGAGGACCGCGAGCACGTCGTCGGGGATGCGCTTCTCCCCGAGCTGCGTGAGGAGCGACCCCCCGCCTGTCGCGTTGATGGTCATGACCTTGCAATTCTTGCCACGATGCCGTTGCACTCCAGCGCCGCCTCGACTGCTGCGCCGCTCTGTCTTGCTGTGGTTGTCGACCTGGGGGACACCATCGCGTTGCCCAGCACGCTTCCGTAGCCCCCGTCGGCGCCGTCGTCGCAATCCTCGTGCCTTGTGGTACGCCGTGGAGCTGTAGCCTGTCGTTGACCATCTGCTGGTCGTCGTAGCCGTCGCCCTTGAAGTTGACGTACTGGTCGCAACCCTCGTTCTTGGCCATGCACTCTGTGTCGCCAGAGTGCCAGAACTCGCTCCTGTCCATGTCGTCTGTGTCGTTCATGTGTCAGTTGCGTAGGACGCTCCCTCCTCATTATCCTGCTCGGCAGTGGTGAGGAGGGGCCCAAGCCCTGACTAGGCATCGCCGAGGTCGCACTCCATGATATGGAGGAGCTCGCCGAGGTGCACATACCCTCCGCCGCCGTCGGCCGATCCATGCCGCCAGTGTAGAGGTCATAATGGTAGGGGTCGGTGGTCAGGTCGTCGCACTCGAACGAGTCTCCCGAGACTACTGACGAGGAAAAGGGCGACACTGACCAATCGGCATGTTCAAAACGGTAGCAACTGTGATGATGCTGTCCAAGCCAACCCGCATCACGCCGCCAATCCCAATAGCCACGTTCGTCGTCCGCCTGCATTACGCTCCTGAGTGTGGTAGTTGATCTCGTGGCCGCCGAACGTTTGTCAGAATTCGCGTTGTGGCCCCAGTCCCAGGCCCTGCTACCTTGGCGGCGCTCCGCTGCCTTTGGTCGCAGGTGCAGGGACGGGGGAGGCCGCCAGCTTGGTCTTGGCAGCAGAGACCGTGGCTGGGGTAGCTGGAAGGGCCTCCCGCTGCCGTGGGCGGCGCACCCGCTGCCTTCGGGTTGCCGTCGCCTGCTGCTGCTGCGGTGGGGGCTGGGCCTGACGCCTTCGCCGCTGGCCCTGCTGAGGCCGCTGCTGCGCCGCCCGTCCCCGCAGCTGCCGCGTCGCCACCCGCGTCGTCTGTGCGGCTGCGCTTGGCCTGGATCCTCTTCTGGTGCTTGAGCTGCTCCTCCTTGGCGGCCGCTGCCTTGGCCTTGATCTCGCCAAAGCACGTCTGGACGGCCTCCTTTGCTTCTGGAGCTCCTCTTTGCGGCGCTCTGCCTCTTGTCGGTCTTCGGGCGTGACCACTTCTCCCAGCTCGTCGTCCAGCCCGAAAAGCCCGCCTTCGCTCAGAAGGAGTTCACGGCCCTCCAGCAGCGCCGACAGGTCGATCGTAGGTGTTGCCGCATTCGCCTCTTTGTCTTCTGCAGCCACCGTCGTAGCCCCGCCTGGTATACACCGCGGGCCGTGTCCACCTCCGCGGATGTCTTCTCAACCTCGGCCTGCGCCTCGTGGTATTGCCGTTCGGTCCACTCGAAACGCTCCAGCACCCGCTTGAGCGCCGCCTCGGTCTGCTTGACCTTCTGGGTGGCCTGCCCGACGGAGATGCGGGTCTCTTGCTTCGTGCGTCGCAACTCGTCGAGCTGTCGCTGGTACGTGCCTGCCCCCTCGGTGTCACCCGATTCGTCCAGGAGGTTGATGAGGGTCTACAACCGTTGTTTCTCAGTGGGCTCTTCCAGCTCGCCATCGTCGCTTGGGAGGCCGCCGTCGGAAAACGACACGCTCGGGTCCGTCTCGTGGCACTGAAGCTGCGTCGAGCTCTGCTGGCGCTGCGCCACGGCCGCCACTCGCCCTCTGCGTCGGCATCATGTGCGGGCGACCGATCACGTAGCCGAGCGCAACCAGCATGAGCAGGAGATGCCGTGGGCCGCGCCACTGCCAGCGTGATCGGGGCCTTGCAGTGCTTGCGCCATCCCCACCACGCCAAATTCCGCCCGCATCCGCAGCTGCTGCAGCGGACGAGGTCGCCCTGGACCACCCATCCTGCTTGGGGGGCCGCCGTGGTGGCCGCCCTGAGCGCCTCCTGCCGGGCGCTGCGCCGAGTGGTGGCCGCCGAGCAGTTGGGATGCCGAGGCGACCCGCACCAGCACCCGCGCCGCGGCTCGCTGCCCGCGTGCGCGCCTGTGCCAGGCCGCTTCGCCTTCGCGGGGCGTGGCCTTGGCGCGCGGCCGCCGCCGCGCCGCGCGGACGCGGGCCGCGAGGAGAGCAGGGAGGCGCCGAAGGCCCTCCTCGCGGCAATCGCGGCACGCGTGGGCCCCTCGCGCGCTGGCCAGCTTCCTTGGGAGGCGCAGCCCGCTCGAGCGCGCGATGCCCAGGAGTACAGAGGAGGGATGGAGGAGGGAGGAGGGAGGAGGGAGGAGAAGGACGAGGAGGCAAGAGGAAGGAGGAGGAGGGAGGAGGGAGGAGAGGAGGGTACGTAAGAGGCACGGGAGGAAGAGCGATGAGGTGGAGGAGGAGGAGGACGAGGAGGAGGAGGAGGAGGAGGAGGAGGGAGGAGGAGGGAGGAGGGGGAGGTGGGAGGATCGGAAGGAGGACGAGGAGGACGGGGAGGAGCGAGGAGGAGAGGTGGAGGACGAACGAGGAGGGGGTTGGAAGAGGGGCGCAAGAACGAACGAGAAGGGGCGAGGCGGGGCTCGTCTGAACTGGATTGCTGGGCTTCGCCCCTCTCTGGTTTTCGGGTTGGGGTTTCGTCGGGGTTTCGGGCTTCGCCTGTGGGGGGATGGTCGGGTGTCGCTTCTTTTCGATGTTCGGGTTTCGTGGTTGGTGCTCGGGCTTCGCCTTGGAGAATGTCGGATGTCGCCTTGCTACCCCGCCTCTCCCCCCTGCCTCCCTGCTTCCCTCCGCCTCCCCCCCTCGAGAGTGATGTGGCCGCGCCGCGGTCTGAAGAACTCCGTGATCCTTCTCATCTCCGTGTCTCTGGTTGCTCCTCTTGTGCACATGCAGTAACCAGTTGGACACACCGCTCATGATCCTAAGATCTTAAGATCCCCCCCTCCTCCCTGCCTCCCCCTGCCTCCCTCCGCTCCCCCCTCCCTCCCTGCCTCCCCCTCCGCCTCCTTCCCCTCCTTCCCCCCTTGGCCCCGTCCCCCCGACGCAGTGCTTTCTTCCCAGCGCGGACCCCGCGATCGTCTCGACCCCTTCCCCAGGACCAGATATGACGAACGAGCAATACACACCCATAACCATAGGGAGGTCGGAGGGAGAAGGATTGGCTCAGGGTATGGGTGCGGGTTGTCGGACCCCTGGGGAGGCTCCCGTTCGAGCGGGGACCACCATCCGACAACACGCACCCATAGCTCATTCCGTCCCCCCATATGGGTATGGGTGCGCGTTTATCGTTCGTCATGTTCATCCCGACCCGAGTCGGTTTTGGCCCTTGGGGGGGCCCAGTGAGGCCCCAGGGGGCGAAAGCTGCCAATACCAATATGCCGCCAGTTTCTCACGAAGCGAGGGGGCCTGGGTCTGAGGATCCCGCATTCGTCTCCAGGACCTGCGTTGGGGTGCGTTCCGACCAGATTTCCGAGGCCGATCGAGCCGTGGCGACGAGAAGCTTCACAGAGACCCTAAATCGCAGAAAACGGACAAACCCATCTCCAATAGCAAAAACAGCATAAGCATAATTTCTCAGAGGTCCGCGCGGATGTCTCGGGTCGGCGATGGGCCCCCCCGCGCGGCGCTTCTGGCGCCGCTCCTGGCGCGCTCTGCGCGCCAGGGAGGGGGGCCCAGCGCCGAACGAAGAACCCCCCGCGGACCTCCGAGAGACTACATCCAAATGGGCAGAGTACAAGCAGACATCTCGACCATCGATCCTCGATCGAGGCACCCTCTTCCCCGAGGCCGCCGACCCAGACGACGGCACGGGGACCTTCCTGGGCTACCTGGCGCGGCGAGCCTTGGGCGGCCTGCCCAGCGGCAGCGTGCGCTGCGTTGACTCTCGCGCGCTTGGCGACCCGGAGGACACCCCCCCCCGGCGGGATGAGGGGGGGGGACTGGAGGAAGGAGGGGGTCAGAGGAGGAAGTGGTACCTACACCGCTGCCCTTCGCTCCGCTTTTCCTTTATTCGCCTTCCCAGGAGGCCTTCGTCGCCGCCGCCGGGTTCGCCCTGAAATTCTAGCCAGAGCGCACACCAGAAGAGGTTCGGGGAGTAGCGATATCGCTGCCTGTTGGTCTTCACAGTGCGGAGGCCTGGGATCCAGGCGATGCAACTTCTTCACAGCGGGCGATCTCGCCTGGCTTCCGAGCCCTGTGGCCATCACAGATCGATCTTGCTCGAAAAGGTGCGGCCGAAAATTTTGGTCCAGGGATCTGGTCGCGATTTTCGCGATGTTGCACGTTGGTCGCCACGTCGGATCTCAGGGAAAGAGGGGAGGGAGGGGTGTGAGGGGAGCGTCGAGGAGCAATCACTGCATAAACATCATGTCTCTGAGCTCCGCACGGATTTCCAGGGTCGGCGCTGGCCCACCCCGGCAGCGCTTCTGGCGCCGCTTTCGGCGCGCCGCGCGCCAGGAAGGGGAGCCCAGCGCCGATCCGAGAAACCCGCGCGGAGCTCAAAGAAGTTCTGGTTACGGTTTTTGTTGGTGCTCTAGACTCTAGAGGGGAGGGAATGGGGAGAAGAGACAATGAGGAAGAGGAGGACGAGGAGGAAGAGGAGGAGGAGGAGGAGGAGGAGGAGGAGCAGGAGCAGGAGGAGGAGAAGAAGGTGGAGGAGGAGAAGGAGGAGGAGGACTGGCGCAACAAGCTCTGCGCTTCAAGTCCGATCAATGTCAAAACTGGAGGAGGAGGAAGAGGAGGAGGAAGAGGAGGAGGAGGAGGAGGAGGAGGAGGAGGAGCAGGAGCAGGAACAGGAGCAGGAGCAGGAGCAGGAGCAGAGCAGGAGCAGGAGGACCTCCTCGCGGGAGGAGGGAGACAGGCCGTCCTCGTCCGTTGAAGTGGTTATGACACGTGCGCAGTTCCTCTCAGAGTCACTGCATCATGACTGCATCAGATTAAGAAGAGGTGGAGAACTGGCAAGAGCAATTATTGATGAGTTTCCTCGATTTCGACACCTGCGGGACCGAGTCGGGACCCAGGGCAGACAGAGTTCGATCCGAGAAGAGAAATTGGCCAGGACAGGCCTGGGACGGGCTGGGTTTAGGCCACGATGTGTAGGGGAGGGAGGAGGAGGCGGAGAAGGACAGGCGGAAGGAAGGGAGGAAGGAAGGTCCACATTATGGGCCGCTTCTCCGCGGCCGGACGCGCCTCGAGGTCCTGGTCGGAGAGCGAACCAGGACAGGTTTGGGGGGGCGTCGGAATGATGGATGGAGGGGGCAGAAGTCAAGGGAGGAAAAACCACCAGGACTGGACAATTGGCGCTTACTAAGCGGCCCAGGGCGTTTACTATACAGCCCTGCCCTGGTTGATTCCTTCTTTGGGTGCATTTACTAAACGGCTTCGCGTGTCGGGGTAGTCATTATCGGGTCGGATTTTCTGCCCTCTAAGAAGGGAGGCGAAGGAGGGGGGCGCGGAGGAGGAAGAGTTAAGGATTTTTCCCCAAACCGTGCTTTACACTCAGGAGCCTGGCTTGCTCAAGAGACTTGGACGGGTCAGCCGAGGTTTCGGCTGGTGCCCGGTTGGTGAGCGCCCGTGGGCGCCCCGCGCGCTGGGTAGGTCAGCCGAGGTTTCAGCGGGTGCGCGCCGCGTGGGCGCCTCGCTGGCGCCTCGCGTGCGGGGTAGGGCAGCCGAGACTTCTCATGGTTCCCGCCCGTGGGCGCCTCGTGGGCACCTCGCGTGCGGGGTAGGTCAGCCGAGTTGTCGCCTGGTGCCCGCCCGAGGGCGCCGCGTGGGCGCCCGCCCGTGAGCGCCGCGTGGGCGCCTCGTGGGCGTCTCGCGCGCTGGCTAGGTCAGCCGAGGTTTCGCCTGGTTCCCGCCCGTGGGCGCCTCGTGGGCGCATCGTGCGCTGGGCGGCCGCGTAGATTCTCCTTTCCAAGAACAAAAAAATGTTCTACCACCCTCCCCCCCCGGGGTTCAAGACCCCCTAGGAACCGAAGCAAAACATATTGAATTCTGACCCAATGCCCGTCCTACCTGTGAATTCATATTATCCCCGCCAAACAGGTAGCCCCCCCGCCATCCTCCACAAAAAACGATATGCGCGCACACTCGATTGTCAAAAACCATAAGTTGTCAAGAACCCTTGAAAAATGGGACGACGTGCACACGCGCGCGCGTCGTCGCGCGTGCATGCCGAAATCCTTCCAAAACATTCGGTTTCGGAAGGATTTCAAAGTCGTGTTTCCAAAAAGTATGCAAAACACAGGGTTTCGCAACACTGATGTTCTAAAGCAGCTTTCGCGCGCTCTTTCGACATTTTAAGAAAGCCATAGGTTTTCAAGATTTTCAAAAAATGCTACCAAACGGGCTTCGCGCGTGCGCATATCGAAATCGTTCGAACGCCCTTGCGCGCGTGCCGTCGCGAGAACCCTCTGCAAAAAATTGGACGAAGTGCACGCGCGCGCGTCGTCGCGCGCGCATGCCGAAATCCTTCAAACACGTTTGGTGTGGGAAGGATTTCGAAATCGAGTGTCCAACAAACATACAAAAGCACAGGGTTTCGCAACACGGATGTTCTACAGAAACGTGCGCATGCGCTCTTGCGTCGTCGTCGTCGCCGTCCCTCCTCCCTCGTCGTCGTCGTCGCTGTCGTCGACCTCTGTCTTTCCTCGTCGTCGTCGTTGTCCTCTTTAGCGTCGTCGTCGTTTCTGTCGTCGTTGTCGCCGTGGTCGTCCTTCCTCGTCCCTCGTCGTCGTAGTCGTCCGTCGTCGGCGTCTCGTCTTCGTCCCTCATATTTCGTCGTCGCCGTCGTCGTCGTCGTCTTCCCTCCCACCTCGTCGTTGTCGTCGTCGGCGTCGCCGTCCTCCCTCCTTCTTCGTCGTTCGCGTCGTCGCCGTCCTCTCTCCTCCCTTGTCGTTGTCGTCGTTGTCACCGTCGTCGTCCTTCCTCCTCCCTCGTCGTCGTCGTCGTCGGCGTCGTCGTCGTCGTCGTCGGCCTTGTCATCGTCGTCGTCGTCGGCGTCGGCGTCGTCGTCGTCGTCGGTGTCGTCGTCGTCGTCGTCGTCGTTGTCGTCGTCGACGCCGTCGTCGTTGGAGACGCCGTCGGTGTTGTCGTAGTCGTTTTTTCTCGGTGGCTTCGTCGTCGTCGTCGTTGTCGCTGTCGTCGTCGGCGTCGGTGTCGTTGCCAAGTGCCATTTCGTACCTACCGTCACGGTCTTCAGAGGTCTTGCGACCAAGTTGCGGGTGGGAGGGTGGGATGTTTCCACGAGCAGTGGAGAGGATGGCTTCAAGTTGAGCAAGTGATTGCTTGCACCCTATAGCTTTTACACGGGATATGTATCACATAGTTTACACCGCAAAGTGAACAACACATAGCTGAACTTACACATCTTGTACCGAACAGGTCATACCACACATCTTATATAGCTTGCACCAACATTGGACCACATAGCTTAAACATCGAGGCTCGCACCACATAGCGTACGAATCCACAGTGCAGCAATTTACTGATAGGGGTCCACGCCGATAAACATGTTTAAACCCGTTCGAGCGTTTCAAGAATCATTCTGACGTGTTGTTCAGCTGAAGTCGGGAGGGGGGTCGGCGGGAAGGTTAACTCTGTAGTTGCGTAGGCTCAAGGAGTTTGCACTCGAGTCCGCGCCAGCTTCTCGGCTGCCGCGCACGGAGTTTGGTATCTAAGCAGGCCCAGCACCGGAGCCATGCAGACGGGCGCCGCGCTCTGCGCCATCTGCGCCGCAGTGCTGCCCTGGACCGGCTCGGCGTCGGCGTGGGTGCAGAAGAAGTGCGCTGGCGAGCAGTGCACGGACCCGCAGTACCCGATACTCGACTACAACGGTGACAAGTGCGTCTGCCGCCAGCACCCGTGCTGGAATGATGACGGCAAGGTGCACAGCTGCGTGAACCCCGAGGCCCCGTACTTGGCGTTCGCATACCTGGCCGACGGCAAGCTGGTGTGCAGCTGCCAGAAGAATCCCCACTTCGGCTCGGTTTACCTGGCGCAGGACGTCTGTCCAGGCAGCACCTGCACCGAGGAGAACACGCCCATCCTGGAGTACAGCGAAGACAGCAACGGGTGCGTCTGCTCCAGCCATCCTTGCCTGAACGACAACGGCATGACGCATTCCTGCAAGGATGATGCCACCAGCGACTATCCGATTCTCACGTTCAGCTACGACAAGAACGAGAAGCTCAAGTGCGGCTGCAGCAAGAAGTTCGTCCCCCCGGGAGAGAAGGAACTCTGAGGCGTGCGGCCCATCATGGCCGCGGTAGAAGTGACCGTGGCGAGCCCCCCCCCCTGAAGGCTCGTGGTGCCAATGCGTCCAGAGTGATGGTGCCATACTTCAGAAGTGGAGGAGGAGGGAGGAGAACGACTATTAATTCAGCCGCGCGGGAGCTGCGACGGCGACCACTCGAACCTTCGACTGTGCAGGAAAAGGTTACTGGATGCATCTTGGAGTTTGTGTGGGGTTCAGGATTGAGTGGGGGAGGAGATGGAGAGGAGGGGGAGTGGGGAGGGGGAAAGGCGCAGGAGGAGGAGGAGGAGGAGGAGCAAGATGCATGTGCGCTGATGCGCAGCCACCCTCTTGTCGTGGCTAGGCGAAGGGGGGAAGGTTGCGGCGTGGAGTAGGGGGAGGGGCAAGCCCTTCCCCGAAGAGTAAGAAGAGGGACTCGACACGAGCATCCACAAAAGCACCTGCGCCCAGAGGCAGGTTTCGTGGCAGCCCCCGCGTGGGCCAGCCGCTCGGCACCACACTTTACACGCACAGGAGAAAATTCTCCCGCGCCAGCGCCGGGGATCGCTGCGCGAATCTAGCCCCTCGATTGCTCCCAGGAGATGGGAGGAGGATCAAAGGGAGGAGGAGGAGGAGGAGGAGGAGGAGGAGGAGGAGGAGGAGGAGGAGGGAAAAGAGGATGGAGAGAGGTGAGAAGGAGGAGGAGGAGGAGGAGGAGCAGGAGGAGGAGGAGGAGTAGGAGAGATGGATGAGGAGGAGGAGGGAAGAGATGAAGCGGAAGAGGAAGAGGACGGGGCCGAGGGAGAGGAAGCGGAAGGGGACACAGAGGAGGAGGAGGAGGAGGAGGAGGAGGAGGAGGAGGAGGAGGAGTAGAAGAAGGAGGAGGAGGAGGAGGACGGGGAGAAGGTCGAGGTCTGGTTCCAGGCGCTTCCCGGCCCCCTCCTCGGCGGACGCCAGCGACCCACATACACCTGACCTTAGCCAGGTCAAAGCTTGGGCCCAGCATCGGTGTATATAGCTTCCCTGCAAGACCACGTGGAGAATTGGCAGCCCCTGAAGCCCAACAGAAACCCAACCCCATGAGACCACCTCATGTAATCTCGTCCTCTATCATCTGTCCTCCTCGCTTCAGTTGGCGTGTCCACCGATCCTGGGCCCAGGAATGTCCTGGTCAGGATCGGCGCACTGTACGTGGACGGCGTGCGTCCTCCGACCCCCCCCCCAGAAGATCCCAGAACCTCTCCCCCCGAAACCTCCTCATCCTCTCTGATCGCCCTTCTGAAGGGGGCCCTCTCCTCCTCTCTACTCCTCGCCCTTCACTCACAGACATCTGGCGTCATCATTGGTGGCTCCGTCGTGACATGAGCCCACGCGACGAGAAATGAGGCACGATCCCACCATCTATGCGTGACAGACTGGAGGGAGGCAGCACCGAGCTGCTGACTTCTCTGGGATATCGGCAGAGATGCTGAGATCGGGAGGGAGCGCAGCAACATCACACTGCGCGGTTCACCGACACCACTGCACACCGTGATCAAGGGTCTTCATTGCCATCATCTCTGGGTAGAGCTGCGCTCCGCTGGATTCACCGGGACTTTCCCTGTCTCTCCTTGTTCTGCTTCATGAGGTCCCTCTCGCTGAGGCTCATGCCGAGGACGGCGCGCTCTGTCCTGTGCTTGTGCGCGTGGCTCCTCTCGCTGAGGCTCGTGCTGCAGCGCGCTCGCCCGAAGTCCTCCGTGCTGCTCTGCGGTTGTCGGGCTGAGTGGCTCGGGCGAGGGGTTCGAGTCGGCCACAGGAAACTAGACTCCCAGCATCGCCCATTCGCCTAACGTACGACCGACCAATCGCCAGCATCCCAATGTCAAGGGAGGAAGAGCCAGCCACCTAGACCCCGTTGGCGTTCTGTGCTTCTACTAAACAGCCCTGCCATGTTCGATTCCTGCTTGGAGTTCGTTGACTAAACGGCTTCGTTTGTCGGGGTGCTTATTATGGGGGGGGGATTCTCTGTCCTCTACAATGTCATCATGGCCGCGGCAAGGTACGGTACGGCAGAAGGTGGCAGGAGCACACAGGAGCACACGGTACCAGTACGATTATATGAACCTTCCTTTCAAGGAAGGTGGAAAGTTCCCTTCGTTCTTCCTCGCCGCCCTCTCGAACTGCCCAGGCCTGAGGAAGGACGAGGGAGGAGAGATTAGGGGAAGGTTTAGCCACGCGCGGAGGGGAATATGGGGAGGGGGGAAGGCTTCTTAGAAGCACCCCTACTTCTTATGAAGACGCGGGCCTTCTCTATAGATGTAGGCCGGGCGCCTTCTAAGAAGCAGCCTCCTTCTAAGAAGCCTTACCCCCTCCCCCTTCCCCCTTGTGTGCGCCGCCAACAGGTAGGGGAGGAGGGGTCGGGCGGGCCCAGGGATACGTCGGTCCAAAGCCTTCCTGAACCATCTCAGGCTTTTCCGGAGCGCTCTGGAACGGCCGCGGCGGCCGATACATCATCCACAGCCTTCATAGCTCAGAGATGCCTAATTTGTCCTGGTTCGACTTTGGAGTACCCTGTGGGACCTGCTTCAGACGGATCTATTATTTCTCTGGCCTTGTACTGCGCCGAGCGCAACGACTGCGTTGTCTACGGGCGCATCCACCCCGAATGTCTCTACATACGTAACGACACCCAATGTGTCTATAGACGCCTGTGGTTTCCATTGAGTTCCAGAATGGCGTGTGCATCCAGTTGGTTGTTGGTGATGTTCGATCAGTACCTTCGCATGAAGCTGCCGGAGTGCATGCTGCTGGAGTAGTGCTTGGAGCAAACTGTGGGGACCGCGCCCCACAGGGGGGAGGTGGAGGACGAGTACTCCCTGCGTCCCCCAGAGAAGGCGGCGAGGGGAGCGGGGGGTCAGGACGGCCACTGACTGCGCCTGCCTGCGGGGCCTACCCCGAGCCCAGCCCTTCGGGGCCTAGACGCCAACCTCGACCGCCTTCCGCGTCACCGCGTGGTTCTTCATATTGACTAGCTGGGGGTGATGAGCGATTGCACATTTGGGCCGGGTTTGTTGCCTGAGCTATGTTTTCTTGCAGAGGGTTGTGCATGAATGCTGTCATAGGACATTTGATATTGATCTTGCGTTGCAGGTCGCGGATCGCTATGTATTCTTCCACGCTGGGTTTCTGTATTTGATGAGCTGTTGGTTGGAAGATACCTGTACGTGGGCGTCTACCTCAGCTGCTGGGGTGGCCTTTATCACTCATTGTTTATGCGGTGGGAGATGGTCGCTGCTATTGGTTTCTGCGTGTCTATGCCAGCTTGTTTGTGTACCTTCCGTAGGCAATTGCGGTCCAGTGGTTCGCTGATGATCACGATCGCCTTCAGTGTCTTGTAGTTTGTCCAGACTGTGCTTGCCTCATTCTCACGACTTTTCGGCCAGCTTTGATAGTTGCTGGCCTTTTTGGTTGGGCATGGTAAGCCCCAGTATTCACACATATGCGCGAACTTCGTGCAGTTCTTGTGTGGTACGTGCCTTTCTCCTGTACGCCACGTCGATGTCCAACTCGTTTGGTGTTGATGTGTGTTGTATTGCCTCTTCCATTGGAAGGCTCGGCGTCGCTGCGCATGCGACTGTTGCCGAGGTCGAGGATTTCGGGGGAGGATCGACTTCCGGGAACACCTTGTCGGCGCCAGGCTCACGGACGGTGGGTGTGTGGTATTGCCCCTTCCCTTGGAAGGCTCGGCGGCACAGATCACGCGACTGTGGCCGAGACCGAGGATTTCGGGAGAGGAGCGCGAACAGGGTGCTTTCCAGATGGTGGGCATACTGCAGCTTTTTCAAGGCATGGTAAGCCCTTCTTCAAATATGCAGTGCGGCTTCGTCGTCAAGTTGCTGCGCTGAGCCGTGCCCATCGCCGCCTTGGCGACGGCGCGGGTTGCACAAGCGGTGTCCGCCTGTCCGACAGGCGGCCGCCCATGAGGTAAATCGGTAAATCAGAGGAGGAGGAGGAGGAGGAGGAGGAGGAGGAGGAGGGGGAGGAGGAGGGGGAGGAGAAGGAGGAGGAGGAGGAGAAGGAGGAGGAGAAGGAGGAGGAGGAGGAAGGGGGTCCGAGGGCGCCCGAGGGAGCGTCTGAGGGGGTCCGAGGACGGTCCGTGCAGCTCGAGGACCTTCCAGCGTTGAGCGGCTTGGCGGCCAGGTCACGGGGCAACACGCCAGCGGCATCGGAGCTCACACCACTCTTCGACGAGCCCACACGGGCAGGACGAGGAACCCTCGCAGCTTCGAGTAGCGGTCCGAACAGGGGGTCCAAAGGGGGAGGTCCGAGGGGGGCCCGAGGGCCCCTGCAGGGGGTGAGGGTCAGTCAGCCGACTGGTTCCCGCGTGTGCTTGGCTGCCTTTGCGGCGGCCACCTGCCCTCGTGCGGGGGTGGGGGGCGGGGGCACCCGATGGGCATGTTTCTCCAGCGGGCGCCGGGCCCCCCAGGCCGTGTCCGTGCTGTTGCTGCTGCGCGGAGGCGCTGGGCCGTGTCCGCTTCTGGCTGGAATAGGAAGTTGTGCAACAACAGCGCCCGAACTGCAAAGGACCACATTCCCTTCCTCCTCCCACACCTGGCCTGCACATTGACAAACATTGCGTTCGAGATGCTGGGCTCAAGATTTGTCCGGCCCCGTTTCTCTGGGAACGCTTGTTCAATATCAAGGCCGGGGGGCAGAGGAGGTCATGCGAAGTGGCTCCTGAACTTTTGTTGCAAAGTTGTTTCCTTCAACGGTCTCAGCCCCTTCCCCCTCGCCGTCATCGTCAGCGCGACTGGTGCGGTAGCCGCGGGCGGTGTGCGGCAATGTTGGGCACGGTAGCCGCGGCCGATACGGTTTGGTACGATAGCCGCGGTTGGTACGGTATTCTCTGGCACGAATATCTTGACCGGTTGGTACAGTATGTACAGAGTGAGCCAGTATTTGTTGGCCAGTATCTGGTACGGTAGCGACCATCATGCCGTCACTGGTACAAAGTATGACCGCTTTGTCTA